TCTAGGCTAGTCTATCATCATTCTTGGATAGGATTCTTTGTTGGAATGGACTAGGGCAAAAACACATAAATATGGTACTACTGTTCCCAGTAAGAACAGGGTACAAATCCAGCGAAGAAAAAAAGATTGAACAAGTCAGAATCCAGATGTCGTCACAAGAAAAAGCAATCTATGACATCAATGTTAGGTTCACTAAAGGTACCAAGAGGGAGCATATTTGATTTTTGATTACCACCTTCAAGACACTTTGTTATATATACTTATAAAATGAAATAACACACACACACACACACACAAATACACACACCTTGCACAACAAAACAGCAAACTTCTGCCATAATATGCTTCTCATGACTCAAAAGATCAGGAAATATTAACTATAAAATATGAGAATCTGAATTGATTCATTCATTTTAAATCGACCATTGCTTTGTAGCAGCCCTTTAGCTAGAATTTTCTGCCTGTTTCTTGATTATGTTTAGGCAGTTGGTTATAAGATTGAAAGTACAAAATGTACTGTCAAAATTATCCATTGTAGAAGTTCCTGATACCCCCATGAATTGTGCAACCTGCAGTTTGGTAAACGTTCTGTGGCTCTGCCTGGAAGCTGTGAGTGTGGTGGGTGAAAGCACAGTCTCTGGAAGCTGTGTGGGGTGGTCGGTGAAAGCACAGTCTCTGGAAACTGCGGTGCTGCGTTGGGTAAAGGCAGTCTCTGGATGCTCTGTGGGGGGAGGGGGAGTGAAAGCACAGTCTCTGGAAGCTGTGTGGCAGGCGAAAGCAGAGTCTCTGGAAGCTGTGTGGGGTGGTGGGTGAAAGCACAGTCTCTGGAAGCTGTGAATGTGGTGGGTGAAAGCACAGCATCTGGAAGCTGTGCGTGCAGTGGGTGAAAGCACAGTCTCTGGAAGCCAGCCATCTAGATCACATCCTGCTTTGCCACTTAGGAGGCATGTGACTTGGACAAGCCACTTAATTTCTATGTGTTTCCTCATCTGTAAAATGGAGATGATAATTGTACCCACCACACAGAGTTGTTATGAGGATTCAGTGAGTGAATATATTTAAAGCACTTAGAAACAATGTCTGGAACATGTTAAATATTATGTATTTGCTAGTTTATTGTTGTTATTATATTACAACTGCAAATTACAAGAAGTCAAGAAGTTTCACTGGAAATCATTCTTGGGGCAATGGGCAAAGGAAAGAATGTTAGTAACACTTCATTCAAATGTCACTAGCAGGAAAAGGCCACCTGCTAACAATTGGGAAATTGCCAAATATTTGTTCCTTTGATGCCACATGTAAGAAACTGCTTAGGCCACATGGCCTCAGTGAGGTAATTACCAAAACCATTGCCTGGAGTTTTTTTAAGTCAGTTATCCAAAATAGTGTCTTACAATTTTAAATCTTCTATAAACATTTATAGTTGAGTGGTTTTTATTCCTTTAAATTTAAGATGGCCTAACTTAAAAATAAAACCAATGACCTTCTCATGCCAACTGAACTGTACCCAAATAATGTCATTATATAAACCACCTACCATGTGAAATCAGTTTACTATTATCAAGTTTTAGCAATGTAATCATTCCCTCAAAATAATAACATATTTTTATACAGGAGGAATTATTATCCATTGTAAAACCATGATTCTACTTCCTAGAAGTTGCAGCCTATGAAGCATATATTATAAATTTAAATTTTATAATTCATTTATTTAATTTTGCAGTGTTTTGACCTTCAATGAAGTTGCATCTCATATCATAAGATAGTTTTTCCATATATGCTCTGCTAATTCTTTTAAAATAAATAGAAAGTCTGATAAATCACATTCATAGAACAAAACCTAAAGGTACAGACATCACTTTCACTGTAAGATAAACCCCATATGTTTTAATCTTTATAGTATATGGTTGTCTACCAAAAAAAATTCTGTACCTAACAATTTAATAACTGTTTATCGAATAAAGAGAAGCTTGTTTTAAAATACATATAATAAAAGTGTGTCCTTAAAATCTTTGTTTTTATTCATGAGCCCTATTTAACACAGTTAAATTTTATCAGACACTATTTATAAAGAAAACCTCTTCCATAAAAAGCTGATAATTATGTTGCTTGAAACACCGAATTCAGCATATCTTACTAAAAAGTTTTGCTTCCCTAAAAATATGATCAAATTTCTAAATTACGAAATACTCTGAGGTTTCTAAACAAATGAGAAGAAAATATTGGCAAAAAAATTACATAATTTATTACATAATTTCCATCTTAGTCTAGTTAATAAGATTCCATGAGTATATTGTTTCTAACTTAAAATGACAAGACTTCTATTGGAGTTTAGTAAGTTAGTCAATGATTAGTAAATTCTGCCACTTCAACCTTAGAATATTGAAAGTAGCTAATAAATTCAGTGTAATTCCAGAGTGACCTGATCAAATACCTAACAGCCTTTGTAAAAAGTGATGGGTATTTGAGCAGACAGGGTAAATACACTTGTGCACCCCATATGAACCAAACTGAAGGTGAGACAATATGGCAATATGGTACCTAGAAGTCTCTCATACAGACCAGAAGGTGACTCTAATACATTTGTTAAGTAAAAGTGGAATTTATTTGTAAGAAAACACGGTTAAATATTCATAACTACCATTGTTCTTCCTGTATTTAGTGGCTATCAGTACAGTCAAAGGTTTTATCTCAATTGATTTTCCCAGGCTGTTCTATATAACTCTATCAATAGGAGACCATTTCTCTTCTGGGACCATGCTCGTGACTTACAATGACAAATATTAGAGTAACTCTCCAGTGGTGTCAGAGACTATCCATATCACCCAGCCACCTTGCTTCATATTTTATATCCTAACTGATCACTGACTGGTCAATCACTGGACTCTTTCTATAAAAAGCACTGTGGTAGCTTGAGGAGGAATATAAAAATCTATGTTCAGCTTAACTACCTTACTGGAAATATCGGTTAAATGCACATGCATCCTGGTTGATCCACCCGGAGAGTGGGCCGATTGCAGTTCCCCCGGACACCCCCGGCCCACCCCAGGATTTACGATGCATGAGTGTTTGTACAGGAAGAGACAGAGAGCTCTGGCTCAGCTCAAAATGCAGCCTACCCACCATCTATCTATCTATCTATCTATCTATCTATCTATCTATCTATCTATCGATCTATCTATCGATCTATCTATCAGCTATGTGGGTCTCTGGGCATGTAATATTATCTTAATCCCTACTGTCATTATTTTTACCATGAGGATGACAACAGTATATACTGTGTAAGGTTATAATAGAGCCAAATTAGATAACAAATGTAAAGCGCTCAGCACAAGGTGGGACACTGACATAAGAGAACCATCGGTGTTTCCCTAGCACCCAGTTCCCCATTTAGGAGACTGGAGTTACAGCCTAAAGCTGAAGAAATTGCTCTCAAGTGAACTTTGTGAGATGTGAGGCCTGAACAGCACTGCTTGGGGTCTAAGGGAATAAAGTCAGACTCAGGGTTTGGGAGAGGGGTAATCTCCAAACTTCTGCATGGAACACAGTGAGGCTTGAGAAGTTTTGGTGACCTTTGGCACCACAGATTTTTATGGAATTGAGAGAACCAGGGCAGAAGCAATATCCTCACATGGTCTCAGCAGTAAGTGGCTTTTGGGAAGCAAATGTCAAGGTGGATAGGAGAGAAGGACAGGGGGAACTGGAAGTGAGCAGATCTGAGAAACTAAGAATTCCCAGAAGTGAGTGGAGTGATTCGGACAGGAGAATGCTATGAACCTCATTGTATACCAACAGGCTGGTAGGACCTGGGGACATCTGCCTCATTTGTATACAGATATGCTAACCATATAAGGCAGAGTGTGCTAAGGGCGAATAAGCAGCCCAAGTAATGGGTACTATGAAGTTCAGGGGAGGAAGAGATCAGTGTGAGATGAGGCTTTCAAAGACCTAGAACATCAGCTGGTCCTTGCAGACTGGAGGAAACCCAGTTGTCTGTAGAGGTCTTTCAAGTAGGAAAAATGGGTGAGCCACAGTGTGCAGGGAGCATGTGCACAGGGCTTTGGGGACAAGGATGAAATGTGTGTGTGTTTGTGTGTGTGTGTGTGTGTGTGTGTGTGTGTGTGTGTGAGTAGAGGAAAACAGGGTTAGAAAACCAGTACAGTTCATATTGAAATGGCTGATGGACATGGATTTGGTTCTGCAGGTGATGGGGAACTAGAGAAAAAAAAAACAATTTTGATTTGGGAAACTGAAAGATAGTGATTAAAAGCAGTGATTGATGAAATGAATCTGGCTTCGTGTGTCGTATAGAAGGAGAAATGTGTAGGGGTGTGTGAAAAGGGTTAGGGAAAACTTCACAGGTGTAGCAGGAGAGCAGTGGGATATAATATTAGATTGGTATAACGTTACGTAACATTTTCTAAAGTAGCACTTACAGAGAAGAAAAGAAAGTCTAATTAAGAGAAGAATGGTCTTCTACTTCTCCTCCATTTCCACTCTTATTTGCTCATGATTATGATTCCGTGCCCCACTGGGTATGGGGGTAAGCCACAGCTTACTCATTTACCAGTTACACAAGTGTTCTTCATGACCCACTGAAATTTCTAGTGTGGCTCTAATGCAGTCTCTCTCTTCCTCTGTCTCATCTCTCTCTTTTTAGGTCTAATGAGACTTCTGTTTTGAACACATAACTGTGTTCCTATAATTTTCTGATGCATTTCAAAACCCAGATATTGATACATTTCTATATAATGGTAGTTATGATAGAATAGTACTATATAAAAATATTGTTTTCCTTCATTCAGGGTCTCTGAAAAAAATTCTTTCCAATAGGTTTAAAAAGCAATTCAATATTTTGCCTGCTGCTAACGCCACTGACTGTTGATACAGTGCAGTTGGTTTACATCCTTCTGCCAATATTCAAAGAGGAAAAAAATGTTCATTCAACTCAAACAATGACTGGTTTTTTTGAGGACATTATCATAACTACAAATACTCACTTGAGCCCTTCAGCAAGATTCTCAGTAAAATGCCATCATGATGCAGTAGGGTTTCCAGAAGCAGGTTCCAATTACAACTTGGCTGGGATAAGAGCAGTTTCAATTGACCCTCAATTGTCAGTCGTCCAGCTGATGGAGTCCTTTCAAAATGCAAGATAAAGATGGAGTAATGAAGCTAATTTATCTATGAAATTAATAGCCTTAAAGTACAGATGTAATGCTAACTCCTTTAAATGTCAATTCCTCCAAGATTACTCTGAAAATGCTTTCATGCTTGCTTACTTTAGGGTTGCTCAGGGAAGGAATTACATTTAATCTCAACTAGCTCAAAGCAAATTAACATTTGGTAGCCTGCCAAATTTAAAACTGATACAAAATAACCATACCTATATTTCATGGAACTATGTCTGCTGTAGTTTCATAGAGCAAATAAAAATCATTTATGTATTTATCCATAATGCATTTATTTATTTGTTCATTCACCAACCATATGAATGCCTACTATGTGTTATTAACATCTTTCATTATTCATGAAAAGAAGTTACAATAAGCTTTTGCTACTTAGTAATTTGCCATGTACTATGATTGCTGATAAAACTAAAGGAATTCAAAGCTTCTGTCAAGTGTCAACCATAATCTAATTATTTAATATGTAAAGCCTTAAATCAACATGCAATTATCAGAACCACTCTAACAGGCACACTGCTACCTACTTGGGTAATCATTTCATCAAAGAGATATAATTCCAAGACAAACAAGCTTTATTTGAGAAATTATCATCAGTGTTGAACAGTAAAAGAAAATCAGGTCCCCAATATCACCACTTTCACTTACTAATGAACCAGCCGGAGATAAGAAAGTAACATTAAAAAAAAGAAGAAGAAAGAAAGAAAAAAAGAAAGTAATGCAGAAACTGCAAACTGATAACATAATTCATTTTTTCCCCCTCTAAAATCTTAAATTAGATTAGCTAAAGGTCAGAACATTTGAAATCAGCTTACAACCACCACAAGAAAAAAAGGCAGGAAATGATCAAACTCAGTCTGGTTGAAGCTATAAGGACTGTGGGAACAGGGTGGCATTGGGAAGGAAAGGTGTGACTGAGCAATGTAAAAATGTGAGTGAGAGGACCATAAACTTCAGCGTGGAAAAAAGCGGAACAAAAGGTATTGCTGAGAGTAACGATTTGCAGGATCATTTCCAGATGAAATTTATGGAGTAGTGAACCATCCAGTTACTAACATAGCCTAGTCCAGTAGCTTTCAAAGCCTGGACCCTGGGCCAGCAACAGCAGCACCCCCTGTAAATGTGTTAAACATGCAAGTTCCCAGGCATCATCCCATCAGAAATTCTGGAGAGGGGTCCTAGAAATCTTTGCTGTAGCAAGCCCTCTCCGGGAGATACTGGTGTATGCTGAGGTTTGAGAACCACTGTGATAGGCAGTGCTTTCTGGAGCACAGGTAGTACGGATAGACCCAGTTGGCACCATCTTTTCTGCCTCTGGGCCTGTGTGCCCATTCAGGTTCAACTTGGTGGCCACCTCTGCAATGAACTCCTTTACTTACCTTAATCCTACCCATCCTTCAATTTGCAGCAACAATATCAGTTTCTCTGTGAAGTCGCCACTAAACATTTCTCTTCTCAGTGGTCTATCTCACTCTGAATTAACACACTTACGGTGAGTATACACATTTTAGCACTATATTATTCCATCAATTAAAGCTTTACCTCTCTACTCAGGTTCAAGCCTCATGAGGACACAAGAACTTGTTTTAACCTCCAAAGCACCTACCAGTGAACTAAGCATATTGAATTGAAGGGCTCTGTAAATGTTAGCTGATTGAATCATATGCTCCTAAATCGGTAGGCAAACTCTTAAAAAAAAAAAAAAGAGGACACTTTGCCAACAGGATGGTTTAAACAAAAGTGAGAAGATCCAAAGATATAAAATGAAGATGTTTCAAAGCACCTCCTCCTTGGCTTAGCTTGGCATTTGGAACATCTCACATTCTTACGATACACAAAATTCTTCAGCCTGCGTCTGAACTTCAAACCAACTCAGGCTTCCTATGTGAGAGGCTGATAAACATGAAGCGCCTTGGGTGGTTGATGGGGCAGTGTTGGCTTGGGAAACTCCTGCCCTGGGTGGGGGTGAAGAGAGAAGCGGGGAGTTATTTTACTTAACGCTCATGCAGAGAAATCCAGTCCACCATCTTGGGGGTTCTGAATTACCCGGGACTTTCCCAAATTGGTCTGGCTCTTGCAATACTTCCAAATATGATACCAAGGGAGGAATCCACTAGGTGAGCCCTTCAGGCTGAAACACTGACGCAGATCCTCATAATGGTTGTCCCTATTTCCCTCCAAAACCCCAACTGCTAACTTCTGGGAACTTGCTTGGGGTTCAGTAGATGCAAAGCAGCTAGTTGGCAGTAAGCAGTATATTAAAATTGATTTACTTTTTGAACATTTCCAACCTATAGACTTTACTTGAATTGAATGTTGATTGAATTGAAAGGATACATTAAATGAACTGAAAAACCCAGTTTGATGGGGTGTAGGAAAGAAGGGGGATCTTTGAGAGACAGTCTGAAGAAGGAGACAGGGGCCGGATCATGAAGGGCCTCATGAGCCAAGGTGGGGATGGGGGGCCTCTTGAAGAGGTTAAGGCAGACGAATTTCCTGATCTGACTGCAGTGAAGAGGACAAATTGGAGGGGGTTAATGTTTTGCTCAGCCCTTTAGACATGTAATAAAACAAAATAATTTGAGTGTAATTTCATACCACTGTATCGGAATACCTGATTATAAATAAAACCTCTCATTTACCAGATGGGAAGCTGTTTGTTGAAATGTACCTCAACTCTGAGATCTTTCAACTTATCACAGATTTTGAAATGTACAGTAGAATGAGTCACTCTGAGGAAAAATAAAATATTACAAACATTCCTGAATCACCAAGCTCCGAGTAATAAATGCACTGAGGAGCCTGTGTTGGGCATATGGAGAAGCATATGTTCCCTCATCCTTTGAGCTGGTGAAGCTGTGAAAGTGAGATCAGCTTCACAAAAAAATGACAGAAAGGGAAATTTTATATATATTTATACATATAATATGTATCAAATATGTACATGTTGAATTCCACTGTAGTACAAAGAAGAGAACAAAAATGTATAAATCCACTGGAATATATAAATCTTGTATTGGGAGACAGGATGGATTTATGGCTGGGTTATATTGGGCTTATATTCTAATAAGTGCTATATTTCTGGAGCATGAATTGGCCTAAAGAATTTTTCAAATCCAGGTAGTAAGGAGTGATACAATAATGAGATTCAATCATCATTGGTTTATGAAACTAACACATTATTTTTATAGAATCACCGTGTGAACTCTTAGCTGTATTCAGGTGTGTTTACCTTTATAAAAATTCATCAAGTACTTCACTTGTAATTTCTGCAATTTAAAAATATGTGTTTATTCTACAATAGAAAGTTTAAAAAAAAATCTTAGTTCTATTAGTGCACAGTAGCCTGAGTTCCCACTGCAATATAAACAGCCTTACTGCTCAGACCACATGACCATAAGATTCACTCATCCCATCCTACCATGTATGTAATCAGGCAGAAGCTGTCAGAGTAGTCAAACATTGGAATGGACTCTGCAGTGCACAGCTTGAGGATGACATCCTGTGGTATTCGGGCACTGTCCTTCGAGATTTGATATTTACTCTGAACCAACAGTCATTTTATGATACTATGTCCCCAGCAGATAAACTACATGGACCTGGGGGCCAACAGGTGTGAGTAGAAGGGCCCCCCTCCCCCGCTCCTGATGATCCCCATGGGGAGTTAGTGTTTTCTGTCCCCACAGCCCCCATAGGCACTGTGGGAGTGGAGGTCCTGGTTTCTGTGGCGGTCCTCTACCAGGGAGTCATCAAGGATTCCACTAAACTTAAATGACAGCTGCCGTCTGGTCACTTCTGGCTTCCCATGCCAGCAGTCTCTCGGGCAAAGAAAGGAGTTGCTGTACTGGTGAGGTGATGAACCCTAATTATTACGAGAAGCTGAAGTTACTGCTGTATAAGGAGAGAAGGGAGGAGTATGTCTGTAATTCAAGAGCTCATCAGGGCATCTCCCTTTTGCTCTTATGACTGGTAATTACCATAAATAGGTGACTAAAGTAACCACATCCTGGTAAGAGAATGATAGCCAGGGGTTTCACCCTCGGGGTGAAGGTCTCAGTGACTCCACCGGGAACAACACAAACCAGCAGATGTGACCACAGAGGGGAGGGAACGCTGGGATGAGAGGCAGAGGAATGTAATAATGAGTATCATCAGACTCTGAAATAACTGCAGTAGGGCACACTCTAGCTTGTCCCACTCACTCTACTGTAATAAAAACTTTTTTAAAAAGAAACTTTGACCAGGCATCGCCTAGAAGAATCAATGATAGGACTCAGTGAACTTAACGTGGGAAATGCGTGGATTTCCATGGTGCAAAGCAGATGTTGTCAATATCCCCATATCGTCTTGCCCTTACCACTCAGTTGACACTGGCCTGACTCATGACTGTAAGAACCTGCATGTCTCTACCTTCCAGCAAGACAGGCTGGCAGTGCCAGTGAATGAACACCCCCAGGGCAGCCCTCAATCAATAACGGATGGAAATTGCTGTATGACTACCTCAGCATCCTCGCTCCTTTGGTGGGATAACTCAGATGGGAACTTCACATGGGCTCCAAGAATTTCCCCAGAACATGTAAGTTCTGGTTACGCCTTGGTAGCTGGCTTGATTACACTAATCATTATTTGCTCTCTTCCTTTGTCTCACGTACCCTCTCCCCTTCTATTTTTTCTTGCACTGAGAAGATAAACTACTGTCACTTAGTCCTTCTTTCTGGGTCTGATTCTTGGGGAAATCCAAAATAAGACCTGCATGGAGACACTTAGCATTCATCTCACTTAAACCTTATTTTAGGATTATTGAGAAACTAGTCCAAGTTCATTTAGTTAATACATGTGGCTACGGACTTTGAACCCAGGACTCTCTGACTTTAAAACCCATGCTCATTCCATGTTTCTGTCCATTTAACCTGGATGTTATTTGGTGGGTGAGTTGTATTTTCCAGCATTGAGG